GAATGTGGCTGATTATGGATTGGCTTATCTGTAATCGCTTCGATTTCCTTGGATCCTTAGACTTTGCGGTTGTCGTTCAAAAAAAGAACACCGTTTTAGAAATACATAGTTTTCCGTGCTGATAAGAATTGATGAGTTGAGCTGCAACACGGCTTCGGTGGGGCAAAGATGGAACTCTTGAGTGTGAATACGAGATTTGGGTTGGAACGCTAGCTAAGTCAGTGTTTTGGGAGCTATCGCAAGACACAGGGGCACTCCCACGGCAATGCAATCGAGCCCGGAAAAAGCCCTTTTTTGAACTGGACTAAGCCCTGAAAGAGTGGCCCCAGGAAACTTCCAAAATCTTCACTATCACCCGAGTTTCTGTTTCCTCTTAGGCCTAGTATGTTAGGCTTAGTGCTGGGGATGCGCCATAACTTGCGATAGCGCTGTGTCTTGACCATATAACAATCCTTATGATAAGTTCTGAACTCGAAATGCCGTGGTAAACAGCAGTTTAACGAAGTCACTCTTTACGTTAGCTCTTCACTAGCTTAACCCAATGTCCAATACATCTGGCGTCTCAATTTCTGCATCAATCGTTTGAATGGAGGTGGTGGCGATGGTGATGGTGGTCGTGCGACGACGAACCGAACACGAAATGTAATACTGTATAGGATCGCTGGGAGAGTAAACATTAGCTCTGCCCTCAGCAGAAGATTCACCTCTTTTATTTGCACTTCATAGAGAAAAGACGCAAGTGTATTTCGATTCTCAATTCAATCTCTCACCCCATTTGTAAATTGCCATTGTGCTTCCTTGTCCTCTTCAATAACCCAAAACCCAAGTTTTTTACGCAATTTCCACATGGAACCCGACGAATCAATAGGTTATTGATTAATCCATTTTTACCAATTATTCTCAGTTAAGTCGGTTTCTGTTAAAATCAAGTAATGAACAGTGTACGATCCCAGAAAAGGACTTCCTTGAATATTTTATGGCACTAGACAAGCTTATCCTTTAGAATTTTGAAAAGCATAAAGTTTTATAAGGGATAGGGGTGATGGTTGAGATACGCCGTGCATTTGATATCCGCATCAAAAAGACCCTTGTTCCTACTCTTGAGACTTCCCCTAAGAATGTAGCTAATTCAGAGCCACCCAACCACTTCTCATGAAAACTAGAAGAATAGTATTTGATAGAATAGCTAACTGAGAGGTAAATATGGTCAAACTCAATAGAATGGTGGCCCTACTAAAGCTTGCTGGGTTTTTTGAACTGAATGTGTTTATCCGTTTGGAACTAACTCTTCTACATATCAAAACAGGTTCAAGACATGGCTAGGATATAATAGCGTCAGCGCCACAAATCCCAGGAACTGTGGGAACAACGAGATGAAGGCAAGGAATGGTCATCGTTTGCTCGTTTTCCATCTTGCTACAATATGGGGCAGGGCCATAGCTTGAATTCTCTGTGCAATTGCGACTTTGCTGGATTCGGCCACAGGGAGGGAGATGGTGGGGGAGGGGCAATAAGCACAGTGGAATAGGTGCCCCAGTTTTTTTATGAAACGTACCAGCTGTTGTTCAAATGTTTGATCCCACAGGCTCCCTAAATATGACCCTCCCGGGAAATTTCAACCAGCACTTGTTCGAATGTTTCCCTTCCCTAGCAGACCGAAATGGGTCAAAAATGAGTCCTACAATTAGCAAGATCTTCAAAACATGGAGGCGAATGTATGAAATTCAAGAAATTTAAGCCAAGTTTGAACTCCCCATTTTGAAGCCTCGGGTCATTGCTGACTAGATGCTTTCCCAGGTTGAGGACTACTAAGGAGGGTGGAGGCCAATGTTAGCACCTGACTTTTTCTCGTTCTACTGAGATGTCGTGGACACTTTCGGACGGTCGTTCGCATGACTCGTTAGGCAGGGGTGCTTTACAGTGCAATCCACCATGGAAGAAAAGTTCGAACCTTTTTATGATTTCAAATTTTTCCTACACGAAAATCTCCTCCACGACGTCTAATAAGAACGCATACAGTTCTCTCATCTCATCTGAATCCGGATTTTTCTCAAAAAGCCATTACGTTCTCTAGAAAAGAACGGCACCGTCTGCGCGTGTGAAGCACTACAGCAGCTTCTTTGCTTGCTGATTCTTGACAAATCGCGCGTCGGAGGGTTTTTTATCGATATCGACCTAAAGGGACACTCACGCAAAACTTTGTCAGGCCGGAATTTTTATCACTCGATTCGAAGGGAGTCGATCATGAGGAAAAAGCAACCGTGACTTTGGTGTTCACTTTGATTTCGCCGCCTATTCAGACTACGGTACCCTGCAAAATGTTATACCTTATAACCTGCGATGGATTGTCTCTCGTTGCAGACGTAGGACGGCCTTGATAAAAAATACTCGGTACACTTTTGCTGCAAGATGCTCTTGATCCGAGGCCACGTGAATGCTGCGCCAAAGTCTGCGTTAAACATTCTTGGGTAAGCTGTAAGAAGTAAGGAAGCCATG